AAGCTAGTTTCACTTCTGAAATGGTGCATCTAAGATTCTTTTTCTGAATGCCAAGAACTCAGGGCTCATGTTGTTCTTTTCCACGTGGACCATTTATCAGCTTCCATCACTGCGAACTGTCAGTGTTTGATGGTGGTAATAGATGCCTTCAGTCATCAATTTTGCTCCTCTTCAAACCTTCTGTTCTGATGTGAATTCTGGGGTCCTCCACTTTCAGCCTCATCTGTGGCAGCCGCCAGCCTCTCCTCTGCACAGACATCAGAGCCATGAATGTCTTGTAAAAGCACTAGCCTTGTCGCCTCAGGCGGGCCTGCTCAGGACTGGGGAGCAGCCTGGGCCAGCCAGAGTGACAGATGGCAGTGTTTCCAAACTTGTGTAGGACATGTTTCCTACATTCTGGGTGACAGTTTCTTCTTTTGGTGGCTTATTTTGTAGTGTTTGGATTCAGTGAAGCAACACTAGATTTAGCCAAGAATGTTCGAACCATCTATAGAAATTGCCAGTGGGGGGGAGGGAAGTACAGAGGGTGTTGGGAATGGGTGGAGAGCTCTTTAAGCAAGCACAACTTGGAAGGAATTGTTCATCATAGACTTCTAGTAACATGCTCCACCTGAAGCAATAAGGAGCCTAGGAATTATCTTCTCTCCTTTTTGAGAGGCACAGAGGACAGAGGAGTCTATTGACTCATTCCAGATCACAGAAATAAATATTGACTGAGCCAGGGCCATACCACAGGCAGCTGCCTCTAGTCTAGCATCTTACCCTAATAAGAACAGGAGAAGAGACCCTAGTATACTCCCCATTACAGGATGGAGACAAGCCCCCAGACTTCCGCTAAACCAAGTTTATCCCCATTACATCAGTATCTTCTGGATGGTCTCTAAAAGATAGGCCCGAGTTCCATCTGATTCTGTCAGCAGAGGTGGTGCCAGGACATCAGGTGTGGAAGCTCCTCTAGACAGGATTGGGCCCCACTGCTCTGACTGGATGGCTCTCACAGGGTACTGATGTCAAGAATTAGATCTCTGCTGTGTTCTCAGGGGGCCCTTTGCTCCCACAAGGTAGAGAGGATGACAGATGGAACAGCTCTCCACTGAGACTTGCTCTTCTTAAACTGTGAATGCCAAAGATCCTCAGCCTCAGCTTATAAAGGTTCCAGAGAGCTGGGAGAGGTGCCTCAAGCCTGTAATCCTAGCTACTTGGGAAACCAAGATAGGGACAGGATCTTGGTTCGATGCCAACCCAGACATAAAAAAGTTTTTGAGACTCTGTCTCAACCAGTGGCTGCGTGTGGTGGTATATTGTCATCCTCAATGATAAAGGGGAAGTAGAAGTAGGAGGTTTCAACCCAGACCCCCCTGGGCATAAAGTAAGACCCCATCTCTAAAAGAACAAAGGCAAAGGGGGCTGGATGCCTGCCTTGCAAGAACAAGACCCTGAGTTCAATCCCAAAAATGTTTTTAAAAGGAAAAACAAAAACAAAAAGCGGCACCAAAGACCAGGTAGCTGAAAACGCATGGGAGGAAGAGGACCCAGACATCAGCATCAGTAAAGCTCCCAGGCGGTTCCAGATGGTTCTTAATCCAGGGAGGCCGCACGTGGGTCAGAGCAGGATGCTCCCAAGTGTTGTAGCACTGCCCCCACCCTCCTAGATTAACCACGTGCATCTGAGTTTGCCAGCCTAGGGCAGGGATTAAGGGAGTGGAGAGGCTGCTGGGCTCACCGGCCATCTATCATCTTACTCTCATCTATCCTTGACCCAGAGCAGTGACTCCAGCCTGCATCCACACATCCTGAGCATCCTCAGCTGGTGGGTGAGAGCTCAGTGAACTGGGTCCTAAGTGGGCCGTGTGACTGTGTCCCTCTCTGCCATAGAAGAATGTGTCATCTGGCAAGAGAAATAAGATACACATATAAAAATAATTATGCTTAGGTAAGACAGAACCAGGAAGTGCCACCAAAGCAGGAAAATGTAGGTGTGGTATTTTATAATCGCAAAAGAAAAGAAAAACACTACCGACTTCCATTTTGCACTGAAGAATGCTAGCTCCAACCATGCCCAGCAAAAGCTGAGTTGAGATCTAAGGGTCACAATTCAAAGTTAACCTGGGCAGGAAAGGCCATGAGATTCCTATCTGCACTTAACTACCAAAAAGCCAAGAGTGGAGCTGTGGCTCAAATGGTGGAACCAGCCTTCGATAAAGGACAGTACCCAAGCCCTGAGTTCAAATACCAGGACCAACACTCACACACACACACACACTCTCTCTCTCTCTCGCTCTCTCGCTCTCACTCTTTCTCTGTTGCATGATTAACCAATTCCAGAGGGCTCAGTGCCTTGTCTGTGGTGAATGTCATCTTGCCACCCCCCACCCTGGCAGCAGACAGGGAGAGATGCCATGCCCAAGTCACACAGAAAGCAGGAGTCAGCTAGACTGACTGTGATGCCAAGCTGGGGGATCTTTTTATTCACACTGAGGGTCTTTGGCTCCTACAAGCCACACAGCATGTCCACACTGGGAATCACATTAGCACCTCCTTGTTTTGTCCCTAGATATCCCTCTTTGATTGGAATATACTGCATTCCTTAGCGCCCACATTGCCAGCCTATAACACCCAGGCCCTCTAAGATTTGTCAGTAAGACATTACCCTCCTTTCTGTAGGATTCACTTACGGGGTGTCAGCCCATGCCCGTCCACTTTTCCCACTTGTCATCATTAGGGCTAAATGGAAGATGTGTTCTCATTTGAAGCTGTGGCTGTATAGCTTCACTAAAATGACACCCAGGGTGAAGGTGGGACATTGTGATGGATTAGAGGCCACCGAACCAGTAAGGAATGCAGGCCTGTGTGAAGATAGCCTTTAGAACAAGGCTTCTACCATGGGACCATTTGAACAACCCTGCCTGGGAAAAAGGCCGGTCTTAAAAGACAGGAGTGGTAGCTGGATGCCGTCTGTATAAGTTCATTGTTGCAACTAATACTCCTTTAAACTGGCCTATGCTTGTCCATCTGCCAAGTCCTATGGGGAACATTTGGGGTGAAAGTGGTCCTGGGCAGAGGATGCTAGGGTAGGGCACAGTCTCCTCTTCAGGAGCTTTCTAAGGGGGATGGATGGGAAGGACGCAAGGCCCCCAGTGTCTCAGCAGGGTCCTCAGCAGCGTAGTGGCCTCCAGGAAGCTGTATCCTGTGTTGCTGTACAGGCTGAGGGGTGACTTCTGACTGTCTCTTCCCACCCCCCCATCACCCACTCACCTTCCTTTTGGATGGCCCTCAGCAATGTCTGGTACTCCGTCTCCAATAGGAGCCTTTATCTGCAAAAGAAGGATAATGGATTTCCTTTCTTGGATAAAGGGGTTTCCCTCCCCCACCCCCCGCATCCACTTTCTCTCAGACTTTTTGTCCAAAATGTGCTCCAACTCCAGAAAAATAGCCCTTTTGTTAACAGATCTTATTGACCGCCCTCCTCTCCCCCAGCCATCACCTTCTCCTGCTTCCAAGGAAACCTGCTGTGTCAAATCTGTGGTAAGAGAGTGTGAAAGAGTAACCTGACCTTCGTCATCTTCCCCACCTGCTTCCTTCTCCTCTGCAGCATCCCCTGAACCTGACTGCGGGCCTGCAGCAGGAGCCAGGGTACGGAGGTCGGGACAGGGGGCATAACTTGACTTCTTCCTTATCTTCCTTCAGCAGTTTCCAGCCACACCACATCTTCAGAAAGCTAGCCCCTGCCTGGAAGAGCTGGGGAGAGGACTAGGTCGGGGTCCCATCCTGGGCTCCTTCTGGGTTCACTGGGAGACTCCTTCCCAGCCTGGGACAACTGTACATTTGTTTCACCTGGATCTTTCTTTTTCCCCTTTCAACAGCCCTATTACCATATTTAAATGCAAGTATGTCTCTTTTCATTGACATTTTAAGTAGCTTAGCCTGACCTTTTTAGAGTAGCTTGTTCCCCTGTGAACTTCTTTACCCTTGGTAGTACCACGTAGCATAGGACAGTAGTCTTAGTTTAGTGGGCTTCTAGACCACTCTGTCTGGAGGATGTCTCTCTCTCTCTCCTTTTTCCTTCCTGCCCCTGTGTGCATGTCTTCCTCCATCCTGTTGATGTCTCTTATTGCAAAGACTCCATGGCTAAAATTGACTGGCTCCATTGGGGGCCATTTATTGAGTTTGTGGTTGGCTTCTGGCACATCATTAAAAACCACAGCTATTGGAAGTAAGTCTTAGGGTCAGGCCACCAAGTGTCTGCCTAATGACAGAGGCTGTTCATGTATATAGGAGTTGGGTCTGTGTGTGTCCCAGTGTGTGGCTATGTGTGCACATGCTGATGGCCAGAGAAGCCCAGGGCAGAGGACTTGGGCCCACTTCTTCCTTCATCTAAACACTCTACAGCCATGTACCTTGGCCTCCTGACTTTATTCCAGACTGGCCCAGTTTTGCTGCCCAGGGTATTTGCAGATAGCACAAATCTAGATTTAAAAACTCCAGAGACCCCTAGGAGACTCTCCAGTGCCCGCCCCATCTAACTGTGCACCTCAGTCAGAAAAACCACATCTCAGTCCCCAGGAAGTGAAACCGTGCCATCGTTGTTAGTCCACATGGAGCCCTGTAGCCCCTCACACTTCTCCCAGAGACTGAGATGCAACTGGCATGAAGTTCTGAGTTGAGATGGCTGACTCTTCGAAGAAGAGCGCTTCCTGCTGCCTGTGGCTCCAGCTGACCTTGAGGCAGATTCCCGCAAGAAGCAGTATGCCAGTCCTGGATGAGGGTGATGGCTTGTCAGTGTAGAGTTAGCAGGCAAGTTAGCCCCATCTTCAAAAGATAGGGAGCTATTGTGTGCCTTCCAGAAGCCTGAGAGCCACTGATAATGTCTTCCCCAAAGCTACCCATGACACCTCTCTCCAGGCCTGTCTTCTGTGTGAGCTGGGGACAGGAAGCCTGGCTGGGGGCTTCCCAGGACCTCTCCAGGCTCCACCCTGACTCTGGCCCTTCTCTCTCTCTAGGCTTCCCTGCAGCAGCTTATGGACCAGTGGCAGCGGCAGCGGTGGCAGCAGCCCGAGGATCAGGTAGGAAGGTGTGCGGGACAGGTGGCTCCCAGGCATGCCCCAGTGTGCAGGGGAAGGTAAAGGCCCTGTCAGATCTTTGTGGCTGCGTCTGTCCAACACTTGTCACCTCAGCCAGGCAGGGAGGGCAGGGAATGGAGGGCAGACAGGGAGGCAGGCATGGGTGAGTCCCAGGCACCCAAGGCAGTGGCTGCTGAGGATCAGTCAGCTGGGACTACACTTAAAAGTAAACTATTGTAGTCACATTGCCTAAGGCGAACTGGATTTCCTTCTGATTTTGGACTACCTTTCCACCCAAGGCCCGACTTGTGCGCCCTGAGACTGTTGCCTTCTTTGGCTATGGCTGGCTTACCAAGCTTCTTTTCCTTGATTGTAGTACCAGAGAGGCACTAGATTGTCCTCTGGGCCCCTGTGGTATTTGCAGGCAGGCTGTTGGACTCGTTGGACTCCCAGAGCCCCCCTGAAGGCCAGGTGTGGTCTGCTTCTTGACCTCAAAGGAGGGAAGAAAGCTGCTGTGGTCTGGAGTCCTAGCTGTCCCCTGACTGTAACTAAGACAACCCCCTGGGCTCCAGCTGCCAAGAGAATCAGGCATTTCTCTCCCAGCCCTTTAGTCTTCAAATTAAACTTTTTTAAGAGGTCTGGAACCCCAGTGACAAGTGACATGGGAATACTTTCCCAGCAGTGCTATGAGGCTACCGCTGAGTACCCTCTGCCTTCCTAGGCACTGGCCCTGTGCCTCGCATGGGGTTCCCTGTGAGCTGCAGCTCAGTCCCTATCTTACTCCCCTCCACCCTGCCCTGGGCATGTGTGCAGGAGTACCCAGGGAAGTACTTAGTTTGCATAACAGGGCTCTGTGGGAGGGGTGGCGGGGTGGGCGGGAGCAGGGAAACTGGTGAGGGAGCTAGTGCTGAAATGGAGCACTAAAAGCCCAGAGGGCAAACACCAAAAACCCAAACCCTGAGTGGTAAGAAACTGGCACAGAGAGGCCCATTAGAAAATATCAGTGAAAATCCGTTCCATGCAAACTGGCACTGCCTCCAAACTACAAAGGATCCACTCCTTCAAACCGTTCCACTGGGGTTTTGTTGAACGAGGTGGGGTGGCAGAGAATTCTCAGGGGGCTGCTAAGGGCCCAGGGAGCTGGTGAGCGGCAGGCAGGTCCCCAAAGCTGAGCATCCTCCGCTTCTATCTGCCCTCACAGGTGTCCAAAGCCCCTACCTACCTTCTGGCCAGGGTCTCCTCTGCCCCCTGGGTCCTGAGAGCAGCTAAATTGCGTCTCCCTATTCTGTCTGGTTTATGAACTTGAGTGCTTTTTACTATTCATTTAAAAAAAAAAAAAAAGCCTCAGTCCTACCTACCTGTGCCTGTGACGGGAGAAACTATCTTGAGATTTTTTTTTTTTTTTTTGAGTGTTGTTGGTTGTTTTTTCCATTCCGTTTCTTTCTTTTTATAACTTGGATTATGAAACTAAACTTTAACCCAAAATTAACCCTGCCTCTCTCCCTACCCCACCCTGTTCTCCTTGACTTCATGGCAAGTTTAAAGGGCAGCATGGGGTTCTTTGCGAGTCTGAGAGCCGTCTCCCTGCAGTCTGTGCCCCTGTTGGCCACCCCGTCCTCTCACAGAACCTTCCCCACCCCCAGCCAGCCGAGCGTGCCACCTGCCCATCCTCTAACTCCTAACCCCCAAGGTCATCTCCAACCACACTTTATTTTTTTTTTCCCAGGATCAATGGTGTTTTATTTGTAGTCATTTCCATTGGGAGCAAAATCTCCCACAGGCCATCCGAGGTCAGCCATGTTCATTGTTGCACTGTTAGTGAATTGTATTCAGGAGTGTGCTCCCCAACCACCTGCCCACCCCAACCTGGAATAGTGCAAGGAAGAAATCCTTAACTGGACGTGCCTACTCCGGGTACAAGCTCACCAGATAGCTACAAGGAAGTCCCCCGTGTGTCCTAAGGGTCACAGGCTTGGGGTAGGGTATACCTGCCACCGTCCACCACATGGCCTGACTTGCTTATGGTAGGAATGTATCTCAGCCCTCAGCCCTACCTTTGGACCTGGAGTAAGGTTAGAAACAAAGAAAGACTCATGCCTTTCTTTTAACACATTTTGGCTACCAGGGCAACTGTCACCTTCCCGCTAAAAAATGATCTGCACTCTGATTCCGGCAGGTTGGCCAGTGATTTATCTGTAAGTGGCCTTTCAGTAGCTGTCTGCTAGTTGAGGAGGACTACACAGATTTTCACGGGCATGCGCATTAAGTCTAGGCCCCGAAAGGGGACGCAGGGGACTGATGACCCAGTTCTACCTGTACCACCTTCTACTACCCTGGGCCACTCTTCCCAAGCTGCCAAAGACACACCTCCAGCCTCCTGGGCCTGCAGCCTGATTGTGAGAAATCATCACATAGTGCATGTTCCCAGCGTCCTCTGAATACCTTCCTGGAGCTTGGTACCATGCATACCATAGCTGGCAGGTGACTTCACACAAGAGAGATGTGGCCTCTGCCCCCACTGAGGATTCTCAGGCATGGGTTTAGGGAGTAAGCAACTTTTTCTATATTTTTGCCTAGCTCCACCATGATGGTTTTGTGATGGCTTTCGGGAGCCTTTCCTGAGGTGGGAAGCACTTGCTAAGGACTGTGGGATAGGAGGCAGCTTCCTTTTGGCTCAGAATGGCAGCTTGTGTCCAGCAGGGCTGTGCTGCCACTGTAGCAGGTCTGGCAGGCAGAGGGGGCCTTGAGCTCTGCACCTACCTCAGCCCACTCCTCTGGGCCAGCCTGCCCACCTTTTCTTAGTTCCCCCAGGACCTGAGGTGAGCAGGGCTCGGGTGACCCCCTGCCAAGGGAGGTCCCTGCTGACTCCTAGATAACTTCACTATCAGTGTTCACTTTTCTTTTGCCTTCACCTGGTAGTTTGAAATATCATCTTTCTTGTGCTCAGTCAAAGAGTTTGTTTGTTTATTTTGCTCGTGTTCATTCAGTTCCAGCGGCCCCATCACGTCCCATCCAAACCTAAATTCAGTTTGGTACATGACTTCCCCAACAGGAGGGAAGTGGTTCCGCTTTTCAGGCTGTTTTATTTTGGGGGTGACATTACAGGTGGGCCCACGTATCAGTCTGCAGAGCTGCTGAGCCCCACGGCCCTCCCCTCTCCTCCCCTACCCATCTCCGGCCCCTGCCAGGACCCTTTACTGTGCTTTATACTTGCCAGCTTTATTCCAATGTAGTGACATGAGCTCCTGATGGTGGTGGTGAGTGTGAGCAAGTCATGTTTCTGTTGTCTTTTCTCTTGCTTGGTTGGGGCTGCGGTGAGAGTGTCTGAGGCATACTTTCCCGCCTCTCTTACACTAGGATCTGCACACCTCCTCTCAAACACTCTTCTGAGCACGCTCAGCGGGAAGGTTTGTCCACACCTATTAATCCTCTCTCAGTGTCCAGCTTCCTGTTAGTACCAGCTGGTTTGCATGTTTTTGCTTGTTCAGATGAAACAATTCAAGAAACAAAACTCATATCCAACTCTCGAGAAATGTCTTTTTTTTGTACACTTTCGTTTTTTATTTATTTTTTATTAGTTACAACTCCAAAACACCTGTTGTCCAGTAAAACATTTCACACCTCCCTGCCTGTTCTTAGATTGTATGTATCTGTGGGACTGAACTAAATGCATGCACTGTAGTAGATGTACTGGTAGCTGTAGCTGTAGTTGTAGAACATGCATTGTTGAGTTGATATTACAGGGTCTCCGAAAGCTGGGCACAGCCTGGCCTTGTGAGGATAGTGTGGGGACCAGGGAGAGAAAGGGCTCCATATTTTCAACGTTGCCAAAGGGGCTTGGATCCATGTTCTCACCATCAGCCACCACCACCACCCCTCACGCTCCCTGCCCCACCCCCAGTCCAGAACTGGGTCAACCCCGAAGTGCTAGCCTGCCCAGCTGGGATCCTATGCTGAGTGTCCAACCATAGCGAACGAGAATGGAACCAGGGTTGGAAGGAGTCTTCAAGATCTTCCTCATTCTTGTCTTCCTCCTACTGCTCTTGACCAGAGTAGCAAGAATTTATCCCCTAAGGTATATCAGCCAGTCTACCCCCAAGCCCCACTTCTTGGAGTCCTTGGACTGCTTTTCAGGGACGCGGGTCTATGTGGCAGCCCTATCAGAGTGGTCCACTCCTTGGGGTGGAGGGTAGTAAGCTGGAGGAGACAGAGCATCAGGCCCTGAAGACAGGGAATGCAATTGCCCTAGTGGGTATTTGTTCTCATGAATGCTGATGGGAAAGGAAGCTGGTGGGGTGAGTCATGACTTCTCTAGTAGAGGTGACCAGCACAGCTTCATGGGGAGAACACCCAGACAAGAGGCCACTCACAGCTTTGGTCTGTCTTCCTAGGAGGGCTTCATGGAAGAGACTTCTTCTGCCCTCTACTCAGGAATGTTTTTGTCAGCTTCATTAACAAGACCTGATAGAGTATGAGAGGTGAAGGACGCAGTTAATCACTTCTACTTTCCCTCCATGCCTAGAAGCGAGCATCCTTTGGAGTCTGCAACCCCACAATAGACCATCTTGTGGCTAAGATCTTGGGGATCCTAGAATACATCCCCATCTGTGGTCATGGAAGAGAGCTGGCAAAGAGACTCGGGGCAAAAGCAAATGGGTGACCTGTTAGGACCAGCCGCAGCTGCTGCAACCCACCAAGCTTACCCAAAGGACCTCGTGTGTGTGTGTGTGTGTGTGTGTGTGTGTGTGTGTGTGTAAGAGAGAGAGAGAGGAGAGATAGAGAAGAGAGAGAACTTGTACTCAGGGCCTGGGTACTGTCCCTTAGTTTTTTTGCAAAAGGCTCTGTCATGTGGAGCCACAGGGCCACTTCTGGTTTTCTGGTGGCTAATTGGAGATTAGAGTCTCACAGGCTTTCCTGCCAGGCTGGCTTCAAACAATGGTCCTCAAATCTCAGCCTTCTGAGTAGCTAGTGTTACAGGCGTGAGCCACCCACACTTGGCTCCA